ATCAGACTTATATCCAGGAGCATAGTGAATGAAACATAATCTTTAACCAAAAATAATCCAGAAGCATATGTGAATTGAATACATAATATACATTTCAGGTCAAGGAAGTAGGCTTTAAAACATTAAGACTCACATTACAGAAACAAAGAACATGTCAAAAGACAGGATAAGCAGACACTCAGACAGATACACTAATAGTTTACCATTAGCAAATTAGCCCCACATCAGTGAAGGTAAAGGAATATCTACGTACGTGTGACTGGAGAATGTATGCAAACTTGTTGTCAGCTTTCGCAGATCAAATAGTTTAATGGTTGTGTCTGCAGATGCTGTAGCCAAAATCCACTCATTGAATGGATTGAATGACAGTGAATTGACCTGGGAGAGAAAGCAGATTATACCACCATTCCAGAATGTTTATGCAAAAGAAACAATAATGGCAAATAACTGTAAGTGTATAAAATTAGTAGAGAAGTGAATAAGTGCTATTAAAAGCAAAGCAGAGAATCTTTAAAGCCAAGATGCTACAGTATATAATAACATGCACCAACATAAATAGACCCTTGTACTTATGTTCTACATAGTATTAGAAAACAACTCCAGCATTTTATGCAAGTTGAGTTAATGCACAAACCAAGCCTCCCCTCGTCTTGTGGGTATAATTTATTAATAGTGGATGTTTAAGTAAGCCAGCTGTGATAGTTTCAATTATGAAAGTAGATCATAACATTTTGAAGCAGTTTTTTTGAAAAAATCTCGCATACATAGTCCAAGTAGTGAAGGTCAGTTAATAATTCTTAGCATTCAGCTTAAAATTCTCTTCTGATTTTCAACTGTATCATCTGTATCTCCAAAGTTTCACAATAGAAAATATTGGACTAAGTAGCAGAACAAGAAAAACTAATTTTGAATTTGTGGTAACCGGACATATACAAAAAGAAGGTTATGCATATGCCTTATAAAAATCCTGAATGTCAACCAGTGTCATGTTGAAGCATGCATCTGTAAGTTGCAATATGTTCAATTAAACGGGATGTAGGTCATGTTGAATATATGTAGACATAGTGTCTTGTGTTTTAGAGACATTAGTATTGTGAAAAGATATCACCACTTGCAGGTGCATAAATTTCATTATTTATATTGTGAAAAGTAATTGAAATGCTACTCTTGGATCATAAAACCTCATCCTGGTGAGCTGTGACCATTTGTTGTGGCTTCTTTGATGCAGATGAACGCAGATCCCATATCATCAAAAGATGATCATCTCCAACAGATCCAAACAGATTTTCATTCTTGGGGTGCCAGGCAACATCCTCAACTGCAGCGGCATGAGCCTACACCAAAGCATATGTGTTTAGATCTTCTATAAGAGACACCTTAAAGAGTGAACAATCCAGGCTATGCAAGGTACAAGAGACACCTTCAAGATATGTGTGCATGTTGTAGGATCAAACCTGGAATTCTGGATATCAGTAAGCACATACTGTAGTTTTGCGAGCAATGGTTTAACCTAAGGTGTAAGTTCTGAGTTGCTACTTCTCGGTAAACAATTACACTCTAATTACAAATTAAAGCAACTTTATTTAGGATATTTTGGTGGATTCAACGGGACAAACTACAGTGTACCAGCAAGTAAAAGATCTCTTAACCCATTACCTCAAACACATGCTTTGCATCAAGAACCTTGTCCCTCGGCGGCATTCCCACATCCCACAGACAAATCTTGGAATCGTACGATCCGCTCAAAAGATAGCCCTCCTTGAGGGGACTCCACGACACTCCGTACCCTTCAGTGGCATGGCCTCTGAGCACAACGTCCGGCTCGGTCTCCTCCCCCTCGGTTGGCCTCGTCGGCCGCCGGCTGCAGTCAAACACATTTACCTCTGCCCCACACGTCTTGGTGGCCACGATCGAGGGTCCCTGCGGCATGAAGCGGGCGCGATTGACCTCCCCCTGGTGGGGAATGGTCTGCGAGATCTCGACCTTGGGGATCGGGGCGTCAGAGGGAGGCGGGGGAGGGAGCGGGAACCGGACATCGACGACCATGAGAAAGTTGGGGGCCTCGTCTGAGGTGTGGGTGCCAAGGAGGAGGCGATGGCTGGCTCCGCCGCCGCCGCTTGAGGAGGAGGACGAAGGGAGCCACTGGACGGTGAGAGAGGGCCATTCAAGGGCATGGGAGATGACGAGATCGTAGAGAAAAGGGGTGTTCTTCTTCCACACCCGGTACTCCTCCGCTTCCATGGCCGCGCCTTCCTCTCCTCTCTCCACTTCCTCCATGTCTGTCCCTCGCCAAAGCCCTCAGTAATGGCGGGGCGCTGTCATCCTGTATTTAATATCTCCTCCAATATTTGGGTGGGAAAAGGGAAAGCCCCTCCATTCCCTCGCATCTGTCACCGCCCGTTGATCCCATCCTCGCATCTCGAACGTCCATTTCTCATGATCCCTCCACCCACACACTCGGGCCGCTAAAAAATGGACGGTCGAGATGTTGAATCCAAGGTAAAACATTACTTCAATCGTTAAGCCAATATTGGATCAAATCGAATTTGGGCCATGTTAGCCGTGGTCGAACTCGATCGGGTCAAGAACAAGCAAACCCATGATCCAGCAATTCCATTCGGGTTAGGTCCGGTTCAAATCGTCGCTTTCAAAGTCGTATCCGGATTCGCTGGATAGCTTCCTGAATGAAAGGGGAACTATGATCCCCGGCGAGGTCCGCGGCCCAATAATTCCTGCCCGGGACTCTGCTTCCCATTCCGTTCATTACTGGATTCGGAGGCAACGATATACTTCGTCCTCTGCAGCGGAGGCGACACAGCCGCTCGATCTCCACAAAGAGGATCGTAGATGAAGGTGGCTATTGACGGTAAAGTTCTCGCATTGTTGTCGTAGAGAAATTAGGAGCTCTAGTCATGTTCCCATGAACCCTCTTTGTTTACCAAAAGCCGAGTGGTAGTTTGTTGGTTTGTAGGTAACCCTAGAATATAATCTGCAAGAGCTTTGTTTGCTGACACCAAATTTTTTGGGAATAATGTGGCTTAGCATGCCACAAGTATGGAGATTGATAAATATGAGAAAACAAATGATAACACTAGGAAAAGAAAACATGAACATGCATAAAAGAGTGGATGGAGATGATTCACTATATCAAAAGTGATCACCAAAGAATGGTTGCATACTTAGTTACAAATACCGGGTGATAAGGACTTGGAGCCTAATCTTAGGTTAAAAATTGTTGCCAAAGGATTATGTACAGCAATGTAATGCTTATCTTGAATTTATTTTGGAGTTTTAAGCTTGCTTCAGATACGATGAAACTTAGCATTTTATGTAGTCCATAAAAGGGAAATGCCACATTGTATCTGCACCTATCAGTCACTGTTTCTATATTGTTTGATATACATAATCTCCATTTAAGAACCAGAGAGTCAGTGTTCACTTTGTTTTTATTTTCAATTTCTGGATATATTTACGAAGACCAATTTTAGAACTGTTTCGTATGGCAACTATAAATATGAAGGAAGAAGGGTTTATATCTTATATTTCAAGCATACCTATGCATTATATAAGATCAAATGTAGGTTCTTCTGATTACATCTGTTTTTCCTTGCTATAGTTTGTCTAAGATTTTCTGGTTAAACCATTTGCCACTCAGTTGCTAATCAAGCTGCATTCTATAGTGAAAGAATTAGCCCTATTTTTCTTAAATCATGGAGAGATAAAACCATAGAGGCATGAATGTTGTTGGGGCAAGTCACAATCAATATGTTCTTACCGTGACTGGTTCACTTGCCTTCTTTTGGGACCGCAGCTACTACTCCATAGGAAGGGTGAGCCATAGAGCTAAGGTAAGGTTGCTTCCTTATAACCTGGATGACTATCGTTTGATGCTTGGAATTTCCTCTCTCTTCACTGGAGTGAGGTTATGTTTATTGACTCTTCTCAGATCTTACATTGGCTGAAATCTCATGCATTGAACCCTCCCTTTTTTTAGCTGTGATTCCGTACTAATAAGTTACTCTACTTCAAGTTATATGACTATTAGAGAGAAACTTTGTACTAAGTTATGTGCATTGCTTTTAACTCCTAGGCAATCCCTTCTTGTGATAATCTCCTTGGCTCAACTGTCATGGGTTCTTTTTCAACTTTAGATAAGTCATGAAGATTTGGAGAAAAACTTGTTTCAAATCATAGTTTTATCACCAAGTATCATGAGAATAATTTGATAAGCTTTAGTTGTTCCCTAGCCTAACTTCCTTTGCAAGTGTGTCGTTCATTATATGTAGGACTATGCAGCTACATCAATTCTGTTACATGAAGATGGTCATGGTAGTTGTTGGAAATGCTTATATTTCTTCGAGGAAAAGAAGAGGAAAAAAGTTGACGGTGGATCTTATCAACACTTTTTCCTTTGCAACTGTTGTGGGTCTCTGAGTTTGCATGTCAACTCCTCCCTTTCCAACATCTTTGTGCATGCAAGCAATGCACACATTCTCTTTTTGACTCTCCCTTTGTGACTTTGAGCAAATAGGTAGGGTGAAGGTTCTCTTTTGAGAATATACCAAAAGCAATTATAGTCTTTATAGACTGGGGGCCAGTTTGGCACTTTGGCTGCCCTTGAGCGTGGTTGGAAAAGACTAACACTTAAGTACGTTGGTAGATTCATAGAGTGCCATGTGGATGACAAAGGTTGTGATATGCTCTGACGGATCAAAGTTCGTGTCATAAAATCTTTAATGCAGGAAGGCAGGAACCTAAGGGGATAGAGTTTTGTTTCATGTAAATTTTCACCAAAGTCTGAGGTTCTTGGTTCATAATGCATTCAGGAAGTGATTCCTAGATGTCGTTAGTGCCGATTGCACTATATGCACGTAGGTTTGTCGTATCGTAGCATACTGTTCGATATGGGTAATACATACCAGTCCAATAGGTAAACGATACCGGCGGTACATCGGTATGCCCCGATAAATCATATGTCGGTATGCTCGGTATGACTCTTAGTATGTACCATATCAACAGTTAGTCGATACACCGGCATGGACCGGTAAGGTGGACCATGATATGCACTATATTATCTCATATGTTGATACATCAAGCGGTTCTTCAAAGATCACCAACACAATGTTTTTCTCTCTTTTTTTTTATTCTTTTATTACATTCATTATTAGAGCAAAATCTGCACATACATGTATGATTCTTGGGATCAAACATGTTGCTAAGCCTTTTATGTTCATAGAAGTAATTCAAGTATTTTTGGTCAAGAGTATAGCTCAGGTATCAATTGTCCTAATGATTGTAAATTATTTGTTTTTTTATGAATAAATTTGATTTCTTGTAATCGTAAAGGGGATTGATTGTAAAAGGTATTGGTTTTGACTCATTCGGTACTGCAACATCCAAAGAAAAAGGTAGTACGATCATACGGGATTCTTGAATAGTTTCCTCCTTGCCAAAGAATCGAGCATATGGCGTAAGGGCGACCCTTATCGGCGACCCTCCCCAAAGCTATGTTGCTCTCTCCCTCGGCATTGCTAGAGGGGGAGGAGATGCCGGCCTTCGTCAGCCTTCTTTCAAACGGCAAAATTTTATCACCAAGAAGGCTAAGTAAGTTTCAAATCATAATTTTATTACCAAGTTTCATGAGTATAATTTGATAAGCTTTAGTTGTTCCCTCGCCTAACTTCCTTTGCAAGTGTCATTCATTACATGTAGGACCATGCAGCTACTTCAATTCTCTTAAACGGAGATAGCTACGGTAGTGGTTGGAAATGCTTATATTTCTCCGAGTGAAAGAAGAGGAAAAATGCCTACAGTGGATCCTGATCAAGTCTTTTTTCCCTTGCAGGTGTTGTGGTTGTTGCAGTGCATGCCAACTCCTCCCCTGCTGACATCTTTGTGCATGCAAGCAATTCAAAGATTCTTTGTTGGCCTGGAGATACCTACGTTGACCTACCATAAGTTGACAAGCCATTGAGAATATTGATCTTCCCTCTGTGGCTTGGAGCAAATAGGTAGAGTGAAGGTTCTCTTTTGAGAATATACCAAAAGAACTTATGGTATGTCAATATTCTCAATTTTCTGCATGAAATACTATGATTGTGGTGTACAACTTTATTCTTCACAGGATTCAAGTGGAATTTTTTTCATTTTTCTGGCATATCTCATTATTTCCTGGTTACTGTTCATTTGTAGGACTACTGACATTGATATTTCCTTGTTTGGTTCTTCCGCATGTCATCTTAGATCAAGGTTGTTGAGAATATATAGAAGTCAGAGATCAGAGTTCGACACTAGTTTATTTATTTATTTTTTGGTTATGAAAACAAGAAATAATGTTAATCACAATATTGTCAACAGATTCCTTTTTTGTTTTGGGGTCAAATTGTTAAAGATTGAATTGAAACTGGCATCTACAGGAAGAAGTATCAACAACAGCAATAAGAACTTTCTGCTCTTCAGGTAGATTCACATGGATTGACTGAAAGAAAAAAGGCCAGTTGGATGTATCCGTGTGATTATACTTCTCTATGAGCCAGGTAACAACAGAGTGTTGCTCAGTATTGGTCTTCACCTCTGGATTGTGGCGCCATAAGAAGAATTCAGCAGCAACTCTCATCTTGAGAACACAATTTTAGTGTCTGTATTTGTTTGACTTGTGGCCTCCTTGCTTTGTCTTCGAAATGTACATGTAACTAATGGTATGTTATATGGCTTGCATGCACTGTATGATATATGTGAAATATCATTGCACGTCACAGAGAAGGCAGAAATAAATGCTGAAGATCATAGGAATTATGACTTGTATGAAAGCAGACAGATATATGGATGTTAATGTATTGTGATGTTAGGGACGAGTTTGGAATGTGGATACCCTCTTTGAGATTCATAAATCTCACCAACCATATTTTTTGACAGCTTAGAAGCTTCGTATCTTTGTCATTTTGCAGCCACATTACTAGTCTCTATAATTGTATGTATGATATTAGAACAAGAAATTGCCCCTATTAGTTTTCCTGTGAACTGAATGATATTTGGTTGTTCCTTATTGCAACGAGTAGTAATGAGACAATAGATAAATTGCCTTCGGCGTTTCCAGTCGTGTATATTGTTGGGGAAATGGGGAAGATGATTACTCCTTTGACTTACTATAGTTATCTCGCTACTTTCCATTGCCTTGCATCGCCTTTGTCACATCGGCCATCGGGCTCTACCCATGTATCATGGTTGTCGACTTTGGTGGAGGGGAAGGAGGCAACTATGGTGAGCCTTCCCCTCCTTCCTCCCTCGTATGGTCTATCGCATCGGGTGTTGTTCGTACGAATCCAGCAGCCACTCTATACCCTTAAGTGTTATTGTGGAAGGTCTCTCTCTTATAGTCACCTACCACTCCATACTCTTAAGGATCGTTATGGAAGGTCTCTCTCTTATAATCACCATTAAGCACCTCCTCGCCATATTTGCCTTACCTTTACAACCTCCTCCTCTCTCCTACCGGTCGGCATCACTTATGACAATGGCAAAGTGAGTTGCAAGCCAATCATGTGAGTTGATAACACGTATGATATGATATGTACTCTTTTTATTTATTATATATTTAATAAAATTTTCACTTTATATTACTTATTACATATATTATAATGTTCATGGATTTATGCAATGAGATTCGGATCATGATGAGATCACGATAATGAGATCGATTCATCTTTAAACACAGACCCTAAATAATCTCGATCATAGGTTACTCAAGAGGGATATCAAGATAATCAGATATATTAGTGTGATGTATACCTGTTCATATAATGGAGTCGACTGATCTCATAGATGCTCGTGTAGGACATTAGGGATGCAGTGCAAGTACTTATTGGAGAATAAGTTAACTTATCAATCCGCTCACGGAATGTTGGATGGTTGATGATACCTCATTGTCAGACAGTGATTCCATCCTCTTAGTGGTGTATCTGATCCTTAGATTTGAGACATCAAGGATGTCCCATATGAGTACTCCACTCTTTGATACTGAACTTATAGGCCTGGAAGTTTCGAATCTAACATAGTCGGTCATTAGGAGTGGCATCCAATCTTATAAGGGTTATTGAGTATTGATAGAGGATCATTCTCTCTCGGTGTTATAAGAGGAATATCTCATGGCTCAGGCAAATCCCTAGCCAGAGTCATTCGGATTAAGAGAGAAAGAGTTCTCCAAGAAAATCCGATTAGAGCGAGATTCGAGTAGAAACCGTATAGGCCTGACAGCACCATGCTCGAAATATGGTATATATGAAATTAGATAGATGAGAGACTATAGATACACGGTAACCGAGGACAGACATATCCAATTGATTGGATTCTCTTGCATCATCTAGGGACTACGAAGTAGTGGTCTAATACATCCGTAGTCGATGAGTCGAGTGAATTATTATGAGAATAATAATTCATTAAGCCAGAAGGAGTTCTAGAAGGTATGACTTATGATTAGCTCGATATTGGGCCTAGAGGGTCGCATACATATGGTAGGTGTTACGACGAGTAAATGTTCGGATATGAGATATCCGTTAGAGCCCTTATCTTATTGGATACCCGATAAGCCCTTAAATTATTAGATCTTATGAATAAGAGCCAATGAGAGATTAATGGGTAGAGATCCACTAATATAAGAGGTTTGGGTAGTTAAATGGAGATCTAGTATCCAATATGACAGAATATATTAGGGTTAAGTTAATAAAATGGTCTCTACAAATACGAGGGAACTAGAGAGCTATACGTTAGACCTCTCTCCTTCTCCTCCTTAGCCAACAACCTCTATTTGGGGCGTGTGGACAGTAAGAAAGGCCGGCCGTACGAGCGTATTTTGATTTCACAGGTTTTGAGCATTAATCTTTGCACGATGATGAAACCTTTTTTTTTACAAAAAATTATGATATTTTGTTTTCTATTCTTTTGTTGTACATGTGATGTCATCCTAAATTTCTCAATGTTTAATGCTTATCTATGATGTTTTTTTTATTCTTGTTTTCGAGTGTTTTAAGTGTTTTCTATTAGGCAACATATGTATGGAGTAGAAAGTACTATCATTAACCCCATTTTGCTTATTTTAACTTCATGTTTCTATCTTGCGAAACTTTAAACTATTTTTTGGCTATGTGACAGCATGGGAAGGGGAAAATAACCAAAACTATCTCATTCTTATGTGTACAATTTAATTTAATTTTTGGTTGGTTTGATCTTATTTATGCCTTCATTAGGGGATGGAGGTCTCGAGATTCGGTCATCGGTGGTGGAGGCCATCAATGTGATGGAGCACAGCGGAGGTCGACATACAATAGCACGGAGTGATTTCCGAAAAGCGATCAAGGCAACTATAATAGAGCAGAGAAAGTCACGATAGGGTGAAGGTATAATTAATTTCATCTTTTTAAAAATTAAGAGGCGTTATATGAATAAAAAGAAAAAAGAACTACGTGACGTGAAAATAAGGGGGGGCACACGATAATGAAAACATATGACACCACGTGGGACTCATTCAGACTAAGATGTCCTCGGTTCATCTTAACTTACACTGCTCCTCAGGGGCACCGACTCTCGTGGAAGCTGCTTGCCGGTGGACGAAGAATCCCAAACCAAACGCCATAACCCCATCGACGACATTCCAATTATTTAACACCCGCTTCTGTAGATCGTTCCACCAACTCATATCGATTGATCGATCGTACGCTGCTCTTCGATCTCCTCCCCCGCCCCCGAACCCTCTTCCTCTCTCCAATCACCTTCAATCTCTCCGGTCCGAAGAACATCGCCCGGCGGCGATGCAGCACGGCGGCGATTACGGGTCGTACTACGCCCCCCAATACCCGCCGCCCGTATCCAACCCCAACCCCAACCCCAACCCCAACCCCAACCCTGTCGAATTCCCTCCTTCCAATCCGATCCAGCAGCCGTACGCCTCGGCGCCGCCGTACTCCACCGATTTCCCGGCATACTCCTCCGCCGCGCCCACCCCAGCTCCCGCCCCCTACGCTCCCTATTCCCAGAAACCGGAACCCGCTCCCCCTCTGCCCCCTTCGGCACCGTCCTATAGCCAACCCCAATCCCAATTTCCGCCCCAATTTCCCACCTTCCCGACGTACAGTCCGTCGCCCTACCCGCCGGAATCAACGCCAACGCCATCGCCATCGCTGTATCCTCATGAGCAACCCTCATCCGTTCCATATTATCCCTACGATCCCAGTCAGCAAGCGGTGGGGAGTTATGCCCCATCTGTGAACCCTAGCTCCGTACCCAACCCGTCCCCAAATCCAAGCTCCTCATTTTCCTCTCCTTACCCTTCCTATGATGCTCCTTATCGGAGCTCTGCTGCGAGACCTGACCAGGAGGCACAGTACTTGAATGACAATCCTGGGATGTATGGCCATGGGCGATCAGGTTTCGGTCAGGATTTCCGTGAGAAGAATCCGTATGGTGGGATGCGCTATGATGAGTTTGTTCCGCAAAATGATGGGCTCGGTGATGGCGTGTATCAGTACGATGGAGGGAGGTCGGAGCCATATGGTGCTCGGGGGACAGTACCCACTAGGTCTCCAGCCCTCTTTGATGATTATGGGAGGTCAATAAGCTTTCCTTCAGGTGGGAAGGACCAGGGTGGAAGCAGTGGGAAAATTGTGAGGGCAGTGCCAAAGGTGGAGACGCAGCAGGACGTGAAGCATGGTGTGCAGAAATTCAGGGTGAAGCTGTTGCCTGAAGGGGGAGGCCAGAGCACCATGGACGTACTTTGCCAGGTTTGGATTCAAGATAGCATCTTACGTTCCTTATTTTTAGTCTTAGGTCATTGTTTATTAATTAATTTTTATGTAAATTTTGCATCTTGAAGCTTCATGGTGTTTATTCAGCTTTAGTATTTAGTATTGATATTCTGACCGTACCAGTGTAGATCGCCACCCCTTTTGCTCTTCTTGAAAGAATTTCATGAGTGATTCAACAGATTTGGATTCCTTTGTATTCATTGATATCTGATAAATTTGAATAGGTCGATTTACATCATCTAAGTGTTCTAGTACTCGATAATATTCAAGACCGTTCATTAATGGCAGTTGTCATTAAGGTTATTCATTAGGCACAGTAGATCTTAAAATTTGGGTAGTAATTCTATTGTTGGCCCTCTCCAGATCGGTTTCTTGTAAACTCAAGAATTTGTAATATATGATATGGCTGCGTATGTTTTCTTTCTTATCTACTTTTGGCACCAACTTCCCCATTTCCCTTGTGATGGACAATTTAGCATCAAGAAATGCAGATAACAGACCCATAGCAGTTCAGAGATGATCAGTTCTATATGGAAAGTAGATGTTAGGAAGAGTTTGTGTGTTGTCTGACTATATGCTTGAGCTGTGATGGTGAGGTTGGCATTTTGAGGTTTTTTAATCACCTCAAACAACTTGATAATCAACAGGATGAACTTGAAATTCATTTTCCTTATGAATTCGTTTTGAA